GGCTACTGCTACTGCTGCTGCTGCTTTCGGCACAACAAAATTGAATACAACTGGAACCCCGAGACACGATACAAGTAGAAGAAAGGAATACTATTGATTCCTCTAGAAACAACTAGAGTGGCAATTTCATGTATACTACAAAACTGCATCAGCGCTCATCGCCGCTGCGCAGGCAGTGCGTGCATTGTCTCGACGCCGCTGCTTTTGCCAAGCTCAATACGGTAGCGAAGACAATCCTTTATATATAACATTATTGCTAAATGTGAAATAACGGATTCATTTGCCTGCTTAGACTCTGTTTGCTGGCGATCAACCTAGAAGCGCTACCCCCCACATGACCACTGGGTTTGGGGGCCCCCCAGCTTATGAGGGCCCCACGCTCTTTGATTGTCCGTTCCTGCCCGGCTACCCAGCATTAGTTGGTTTGATTCCTTTTCGTGTTTTTTGAACTATATTGCAGTATTAACTCATAGGGTAGCGTCTTTATGTGCGCATTGAGCAGTTGAGGGCAGGGGCACTGCAGGGGCCCCCAGTGAGTACAGTAGACTCGACGGCGAAGCGGGCGCGGGCAGCAGCGCATAAGTTGCAGCGAAACAGCATGTGTCTTTACTGCTTATGACTCTAATGGTGTTGCTGGTGCGCGTACTGTGCCTCCAGTGGCACGCAGGCGTCAAGGGACATGGTGGCGTACCCCCGGGTACACAGCCCGCGACGAGCTGCTGAGGCCGGGCTTGCAGCAGCTGCAGAAGTAAACGAGCCGCCCACAGCAACAATAACAGCTCCCGCTGCAGTGCCAAGCTGCTGTACCAAACTGGGAGAAACAGGAGCGGCGCATTCCAATGCAACGGGAGTCGCAGGATCAGGTGCTGCAGCGCCTGCAGAAGCAGCTGCAGCAGCAGCCGCAGTTCCGAAGCCGCCTCTCTCTACATTCACTCTATTAATCAGTCGGCGCTACATACTCGCTGTAGGGAGCACAGATCAGCTGTGGAACTCATGCGGGGAGCCTCAGGAGCAGCAGCACGCAGCGCAGCAGCGGAATGAGCAGCAGTCGCGGCAGCAGCAGGATCTGGAACATATTTTGGGGCGTGATGGGGTGACATGGAGGCGGCTTCACTCTATTCTGCTGCTGCACAAGCAGCCAGTGTTGCAGCAGCGGCAGCAGATGGAGCAGTACCTTCGGCAGCAGATGCAGTCAGAGCAGCAGCAGCAGCAACAGCAGCAGCAACCGCAGCAGCACGAGCTGCCTCATTTCAGCCGTCCCCCAACGTGGGAACGAATCGGCTCGAAGTTCATGACTACGGAGGCTGCGAAGAACTGCCTAAGGCAAAGTCAGCTGCCGCTGCTTCTTCTTTAGCGCCACGACCTTGCACAAAATTTGCTTCTCTTTTCTTTGTTGCTTCGGTTGCTGCTGCAGTTGCAAAGTCTGAAGTTGGTTTGTGGTGCCCCTCAAGTTGCATGCTATGTGCTTCTGCTGCTCATGGGCGTGCAGCGCTGCAGCTGCTGGGGGAGGCCCCGGAGCAGCAGCTTTCCGTGTCGGGCCTTGTTGGCTTCCTGCCTCTGCTCTGTGGCTTTCACCTCGTTGCTGCTGTTGGCGCGCGACCAGTAAGGCAGCAGCAGCAGCAGCAACGGGTGCACAGGGAGGGGCAGCGACAGAGCTTGCTGGCAGCACGCAGCAGCACCAGCTAGTTCTACTGAGGCAGCAGCAATAGAGGCACCCACAGCGCAGCAGCGAGGGCTGCTGTAGCGGGAGCAGCTGAGGCCTTGAATGCGCAGCTGTAACTGCTGCAGCAGTAGAAAGCAGCAAAGAGGCTCTGCTGCTCTGTCTTTGCAGGCTGCGCGTTTGCTTGTGCACCACACAGTACACAGTATCGACGATTTGGTTCTCCTTCCCCTTTTTTTCACCGCTGAGACGCCGCAGGAGGCTGCTGCCTTCTGCTGCAGCAGTCCTCCCACGCTCCACTTGCTGCACTCGCTGCAGCAGCAGCAGCAGCAGGCTAAGCGAGGACAGCAAAAGCAGCAACAACAGCAACCGCCAGAGGATCAGCCACTCAATCAACAGCAGCTCGAGCTTCTGCAGGAGGTGCAGCAACTTTGCAAAAGACTCTCGGGATTGTCCTTTAGCGCAAGCACAGCCGCAGCGGCAGCAGAAGATGCGAAATACAGAACTTCAGTTTTGGCTTACCGCGCCGACCGCGGATTTTACTTCTGCCGGACTCTCTGCATCAATCTCTCCCTGCAGCAGTTGGCTGCCAGGAGGCGTGCTGCATGTGCAGCAGCGGCTGCTGCTGCTGCTGAGCTAACTGCGGCAGCAGCTGCTCAAAAGGGGGGAGGAGCAGCAAGAGTTGCAGCGGCAGCTGCTGCTGCTGCTGCCAGCGGAGCCGAGTTCCACGGGCAGTATCTGAGCTGCGAACTGAATCCTAAATGCTGTCAATGCAAGCAGCAGAAGCAGCAGCCCCAGCAGCAAGTGCAGCGGCAACAGCAAGAGGCCACCAGCCGCTGGCATTGGTCGCCTTTACACCGGGAGGAGTGTCGTTTTCTGTGGAACCGCGAATTGTTGTCTTTACTGCTGCAGCAGCAGCAGCAGGACTTAATATCAGAGGGATTCTTCTTGCTGCTGTTGCATGGGTCGGTGCAGCAGCAAGTGCTGCAAACCCAAGGGGTCCACCTGCAGCTGTTAACAATCTCAAGACGTTCTGCTGCGTTTGCAGGGCCCCGGTAGGGAAGCACTGAGGCTCCTTGGTGCTGCTAGTGGTGCTGCCTTTCAGTGCTGTTTGTGCTGGTGCATCCATTGCTGCTTGTGTTGCCACAGCTGCCGCTGCTTCTACGGTTTTCTGCGCTTTTTTGTGCTGATTGGTCTCGCTGCTGCATCATTCGTCTTGCTGTTGTTGCTGCTGCTGGTGTTGCTGCGGGGTCTCAACAGATACCGTAAGCGGGGGCTCAACGACGCCGGTGATGCGGCAAACGAAATCGAAGTTGAATTTATTTGTCAGGCGACGATTCCCTCCCGAGCAGCCACAGCAGCAGCAGCCCGGCAAGCAGCCGCTTCAGCAGCAGCAGCGGCAGGAACTCCTGCTGCACTGTGGAGGCAAGTGCTGCTGCGAGGGGGTGGGGGATTTGAGTTTGCTGTTGCTTCTCACGTCTTGTCGCGAGGCAGCGCTCCGCTGCTTTGGTTCCAAGACACTGCAGTCATTCCTTCACGGCCCAGAATCCGCCGCAGAATGGTGCGTCTGGCTGCAGCATTAGCAGCTGCAGCGTCTTCAGCTTCATTTGCAGTGGCCCATGTTCCCGCCAGAAGCTTCTGATAGGATTAACCCTTCTGATAAGCTTGATTTCCTTGGCGCTGCTTTTGCGAGTTAATGAGACAGTTTTAATTATTTACACAAGGGTGCTGCCGGTGCACTCCTAAAGTGCTTCTCCTTGTTGCTTTCCTCGCGGCGGCTGCCACAGGAACTGTTGCTGCTGCTTTTGCTGCGCCCTCAGACGGACGTCAACTGCAGCGCTATTAGAAGGCATATGGCGAGCTTGCTGCAGCGGTATGGAGCTCCGCTGCTGTTGCTGAACCTATTGCGCAGCAGCCCCCGCGCAGCGCATTCTGCGGAGAACCAGCAGATAGCCCCACTTGGTTTTTCTGCAGCAACTTCTAGGCTAAGTCGACAGAAGCATTCGCAGCAAGGTCTGGGATGCACAGCAGAGGAAACAGTAGCAGTAGCGATAGAGGCAGCAAACGCTGCTGCGCGGAAGACAGAGGATAGTCCCAGCGAAGAAGCAGCAACGGCCACAGTAGCCGAACAGGAGTCTTGCCTTGGAAATGAATATCGCAGGGCTGTAGCGGCCCTAAATTCGGTGAGTTCAGCAGCCGTAACCGTGGCAGGGGTAACTTTTCTACTTTTGTTACCACTGATGATGCATTACTTCCTAGTAATGAGGAATCTGCTGTTGTTCTAATTTGTCAGCGAGGTGATGCAGCAGCAGCTGCTGCCACCTACCATCAATCGCTAAGTCTTCAATGACTTGAATAGCATCTGCCGAACTATTTTTTGATTCTGCCAAGCCACACCGTGGCAAACATTAAACATGACGCTGTTGGCTCATTGCTGGACTTGGTGCAGTGCCATGCTGTGCTTTTTGCAAGACGGTCTGGGTACTGCAGTGCCGCAGGGTTTATGGAGTGCTGTTGCTGCTGCGCTGTTTGCTGTGATTGCCTTAGGAGCTTCCTGCTGCAGTGCAACTCCGATTTGCTGCGGTGGATATCGAGGCAGCAAGGAGAGGCGACCCGGCAGAGGCGTCTTCACGAGTGGGCGGCCTGGCGGCGAAGACTTTGGAGGAGCTGCAATTCTTCGCCTCTCAAGAGTCAGTGCTAAAGACCGCGGGCTCAGACTTTAGAGCAGCAGAGCAACATGCAAGCCAGTGCACCGCCAGAAGCCTTGGCTCAGCAGCAAGAGCAGCAAACGGACTTCCAGCTAAAGCAGAAAGAGCAGCGGTGGCGACAGCGAAGCTGTTGTGCTGTGACTACTCTGCGCATTCGCACATGCTTGTGTGATTCAGCCTCTGGGGCCTGTCGCCTTGTCAGCTGCAGCGCGGGGTGTGTCGCCTGAACTGTTTGGACTCTTTGGACCGGACCAACGAAGTGCAGCTGCACATGCACAGGGCTTTTGCGCTGCGCTTTCTTCGGAGCCTCCCGGCGGCGGTGACGATAGACAGCGCCCTAGACGAGCAGGCAGGGCTCGCCATGATTGCATATTGCAAGAGAGCTCAGCTTCACTTTCCCCTAGTCACGAAGGCATACGCATGGGCGCCAGCGCAGAACACAGTAGCACTTAAAACGCAGTTGCGGTGATACGAAGAAACAGACGAATGCAGAGGCAGGGGTGCAGCGACACAAGCAGAAATGCAGGAGGTCTGTGGCAGTGAGAACAGTAAAGAATGCTACGGCGAGGAGGGCAGACGGACACTTTTCGTTATACAGCCAGAGACAGGTACAAGGACTGCGAATACACATAATGGCTATGGGGTTACATTTTCGTTCTTTGCTGCAGGTTCTGAATGCAATAGCTGTTCTAACAGACGCCAGTGGGGACGACGTGGCCTTGCAATATGGAGGTCAGAAAGTTTGGATCCTTACCGGTGCTCTTATTCTTTTGCTTTAAAATTTACTGTCTATAGTTACGGGCTCAGGGCTTAGTGCTGGCGCACCTGCGTCGCGGTGTTTTCACACAGGTTCAGTAGCCCATAGGAAAAGACTGGAGCCACTGGCCTGGGCCGCACAGTTGCCGGTGGAGTCGTGTAGTGCAGACGATCCCAGAGACAACCTCTGGGGCATTTCTTTTGAGGCTTCAACAGGCAGCAGAAGTAGCAGCAACAATGGAAGCAACGGGGATGGCCCTCAGCTGCGGTCTCAGCCCTCAACGAGCTCTCTTACCGCGGATGATGCCGCTGCACCGGAGGGGCCGCGAAGTAATGACAGCACCAGCACTACTGGCAGCAGCAGCAGCAAGCCCGGAGGCCTTTTCAGCGGCGCCTTAGTTGCTCTTAAAGGGGTCTCATCGGCCCTTGCTGTCCAGTGGGTAGGAAGGAAGGGCACCACAGCAGCCTTTGTGCCTCTTCTGCCTGGCCTGTCCACATCTCTCCAGCGCAGGTAAAAGCCCCAACACTTGGAAATATAAGCAGCCAGAGACCGGCTAAGATCGCGATCTTCTGAATTTTCTGAGGGAAGAGCATCAGACTGAGGGTTAAGCACCAGCGGCCACAGTAGAGAGATCTTGGGAGTTTTTCCCCCATGGACAGGCGGAATTGCGCTTAGCTTAAAACTATGGCCTTGAAACACGAGCGAGTTGGAAGAAGGTGGATAGGGTGGTTGTATACAATCCACTGACAAAGCAGCGCTGGCCAAGGCGACTAGCGCTGTCGAAAAACAGGTGTCATCCAGCAGCAGCGATGACTTGGCTCTTTGGAATCCCGCTGAGACTCAGAGTTTATGGTGTAGGGTGTTTGAGCCTGCGCACTTGCTGCAGGTACAGCAACATACTTGAGGACGGCAGGAAGCAACAAGCTCTCAACATTTGGTTCTCCTTGTACCCTCCCATCAAAGAAGGTCAGCAGCAGCCGCCTATTTGGAGGCTCGAAGACGGATACGATGTTTACATACATCACAAGTGAGGAGCAAAACGGAGATGACATTTCGCGCGTTCAACAGTATGCTGCTGAGAAACAAAAGTAGCAGCATCAGCAGTTGCTGATGTACTTCTATTGTCCTCCAACGATGAAGTGTGTTCTTCTCTTCGCTTGAACACACAGTGACAAGGAAGTGCCGCTACTTCGTTGCTGCACCTGCATCTACATTGTTTACCTCCCATGCCCTTCCAAGCGTCTTTAAATTTGCTGTTGCAGCCGGCGTTGCTTCTGCGGCCTTTGCTACTGTGCTTGTTGCTTCAGCTTTCTGGAGCCATCTTTCTCCCCGAAGGACTGGTGGGTGCTGCCCTTGCAACGCTTTTTCAACGGCATGAGGTCAGCTGTCAGCATCTCTCACTGCTGCCTCTGCTGCTGCTGTACGCTGGAAGATTCTGGGTCCTTGGACGTAGCAGCAGCACGGGGAGCAGCTGGAAGTTACAGTGATGAAGACTTACAGGCACCAGCAGCAATGCAGCCAGCGGCAGCAGCGGCAACAGCAGCAAACCAAACAGCCACCAAGTGGCTTGGCTGCTGCCGTTGCCGATCCGGAGATATTATCGCAGCACAAACGGCGGAGGCGTCAAGTGGCTTTTTGCGTTCTTCTGGACCGTCTTGGGTGCTGGACTTCTTGTCCCCCGAATGTACAGGGATTCTTCTGGGCTGCACCTGCGGCAAACACATGGAGTACAGCAACGGCAGCAGCGTCAGTACCAGCCACAACGATTCATGTGACAATGGCGCATGCTTTGGAGCTGGAGACGACATACCCCACCTCTTAGATGTGTTCACGTACGGCCCCTGGCGTAGGAAAGCAGCAAATACTGCTGCTTCTTCTGCTGCGTCTGTTTTGAGGGCAGCCCCTGAGACAGATTCTGCTGCTGGTTGCCTGCAACTCAGCACGCGCGGACTAGCCGCGTCGCCAGTAGCAGTTGCTGCGGCGGGGTCAAAACATGCGTACAACAGCCAGGTGGATGCCTCTGAAGCATCACTTCGTGCTGCGTTGGAGGATCACAGAGAAGCTGAGCCAGATGAATCTCAGAAGAGCAGCAGCGACTGCAGCAAGGTGTCCAGAGCTTGTGGGGAACAACGGAAGAATCTTCAAGCCTGCGCGCATTCCAGGGGCCGTTCTCTAGCATTGCTGTTGCCAACGCTTATAGACACTGCAACAGCTGCAGCACGGGCGCTGCAGTGCTCTTACTCACTACAGCTGCGGGAGAGCGAGCAGCTGTGGGCTTACACTGCACTGCAGCAAATGCAAGAGCAGCAAGAGAAGGAGGAGCGAATGGGCAGTAGCTTCATCTCAAAATGGTCCGCAGCTCATCTAGTCCTGCAACAACGCAGCTGCAACAGCGCGCTGCAGCAAAGGCTTTTGCAGGCGCACATAGCGAGACGGCTGACAAAGTACCCACGCGATGTGGTGGCTTCTTTCGAATTGCAGCGAGCGGCAGCAGCGGCAGCAGCAGCGGCCTGCTGCTGCCAGCCTTCGTGTAAAGCACCTAGAGTAAACCGGGAGTCCAATGCGTTACTATTCCTGCTGCCGCCGCGTGCCGGGGAGACTCCTCATGCTGATGAACAGAAGACGGATACAACCCAGCAGCAGCGGCAGGTTCGGCAGCATCAGAGTGCTTTAACATTCAAAGGCATCATAAAAGAGCAGCTGCGGAGAACCTTGCAAGCGTATTCGCAGCAGCGGCAACAGCAGCATGATAAAGCTCTGAAGAGCCTTCCATATGAGCTGCAGCAGCAGCTGCAGCTCTGCAGCGATGGAGAAATGGACACTCTTAACTGCCACTTTGGTGCAGCCAGTAGTAGTAGTATCACTAGCTGCTGGCATCGAGCAAGTGCTGCTGTTTCCGAAACGATGCTGCAGCCTATCGAGCTGCATGCATTGCAGCAAGAAGCTCATCTCTTGCGGCTACAGAGGCAGCAGAAACATCTGGAGGCAGCAATGCTTCTCCCGGCCATGTACGCGTTTGCTGCAGTGGCTGCGCAGAGCCCAATGGACAAACAGCTGCTTCACCGTGTCCAGCAGCATATGTGAGGGGCCACGTTGCTACCAGCAGCAGCAGCGGCTGCGTCGACCCGAAGCTGGCGCTAGGTGCACTGTTAATGCCTCCCATTCGCTTTTGTTCTCGCCTTCAAATTGTTTTGAGCTCGCAAAATAGCAGTAGTCACGGGGGTGACTGCTGCAGTCAATGGCTGCTGCAATTGCAGAGTGCAGAGGGCACTCTGCAGTTGCAGCAGCCAGCGCAGTGCTGGCTGCAGAATTTGCCTCGAGTCTGTAGCCGGACACGAGTAATGGACTCCAGTCGCGATTTAAACTTTAAGGGAACTTTAATGGTAACTCGTAGTCTAAATCCCAAGAGATATGCCACTGATTAGAGCGACACAAATGGTGGCTTCTACATTTTATGAGGCCCGCTCAGCCTGGAGCTGATTGCCCCTTTTTAATGAAGAACAGTGATATGGAAGCCGCATCCGGTGGATTTACTCACGGGAAGGGGATGCGTCCTTGCTCCCCAGTACTTGTAATGAGTGGAGAGACACACATGAGAGAGCTGGGCATGCGGCCTGGAGGAATACTAAAGGCTCTCTGCTGACGAAAAGCGGATTTTGTGTGCTGCCCACATGTTGTAAAATGAGTTATAACAATGCCAAGAACAGGCAGACAGCGGCGATGAGTGGCAAAGACCCGAATCACAACACTCATGCATCAGGCACTACAGCGGAGCCAAGAGCGCAAGCAGCACCACGCTCAGCAGTACCCATTTACTTATTTGGCTGGCTTTGCGAGCTCTGTAGCCGCAGCCGCTCTAGCAATGGAGGAATGGAAAGCAAACTGTTGCGTTCGCTGCTGCTGTTGCTGCTGCATTGAGAGGCGCCAGCCGAAAGGGAAGCCGGCGGCGGTACTCCCTCTTTCTGCGAAAAGGAAGCGTTTTCTTCCCTGCATCGCTTGAAGTGCGCGCCTTCAACAACAGCAGCTGCAGCAGCTGCAGTAGCACCGGCACATCCCGGCAAAGCCTGTGATGCCTTTCGCTTTCCTGGGGGATCCCCAGCTCTTTGACAAGTAGCGGCTGCTGCCGCATTGCTCGGAGTGCTCTCTGCTGCCTCTGCTGCACAAGCAGCAACAGCGGCACGAAGTGGCTCTGTCACTGAGCCGTCGTACGGAATCTGCCCTACGCAGGCAGCAGGTTCATTGTCAACAGTACTAGCAGCTTGTGATGCTGTTACTGCCGCCGCTGCTTCTGTCTGTGAAGGGCTCCTGCTGCGTCTTTCAAATAGATGATTCAAAATGAAACCCCAAAATACTCTGCGACTGCAAGAACAGCACCACCAGTAGGCGGGGACCAGCCGATAATGCTCATCGTCATCATCATCATCTGTTGCTGCTGCTTGAGTAGCTCCGTCAGGTGCTTTCGACGCTGTTTCTGCAAGCTGCTGCTGCTTTCTTGCTTCTGCTTCCTGCTGCAGCGCGAAACGGCCTGCGCAGGTGAGGTGTAGGTACACTCCGCACTGCGGGCAAGACAAAGCCCTATCTTTGTCTTGAAATGACGATAAGCACAACGCGCAAGTATCAGCACTAGCAGCAAGCGTTGCTGCAGCAGGTGTTTTAGCACCGTCTGTTGCAGCACAACCCGCTACAGCAGCACCTGCTGCTGGTGAAACCGCTGGACACAGCGCCCCAGCAGCTGCGATGCTGCTGTTGCCGCTGGTGAGGGCTCTGAGATCAGGCACCGCAGCATCACCAAAGCAGCAGTTGCAGCCACTGCTGCTTTTGCTGCTGCTGCTGTCCCTGCTGCTGCTGGATTTTGTGAAGGATCCAACCCGTAGTCCTGGAGATCGAAAGCTCAGAGAGATTGCGGGGCCGCTGCTGACAGTCACCTGCGGCGGCACTCTTGTCAGCGCGCGGCCGCTGCTGCTGCTTCTCCCTTGCTTCCTTGTGCCTCCGCCGCAGCAGGGATAGACCAGCAGGTCTTGAAGAGTATCTGTCACATCTGGGCAGCAAGCATGCAGCTGCAGCGGGAGGTTACAAAAAGGAACCCCGTGCAGCAGCAGCAGCGCTTGCTGCAGCTCAGCCTCTAGCCGCTCCTGCGGGAGCTTACTGCGCCGCCGCCTGAGGACGAACGGGACGCGGCAGCAGCGAGAATCGTCTGCTGCTGCTGCCTGCTCATTGAGCAGCTCCCAGTCAGCTGCTGCAGCGGCTGCTGCTGCAGCAACCGTCTTCGGCGCTGCTGCTGCAGTGGCTTGGCTCCCCCGAACACGCGACTGCCCTCGGCCACGGCGTTGCTTGGCTATCTGTCTGCGCCTTGCTGCGCAGCTGCTGCAGTTGCTGCAGCTGCACACAGCCCCCGTGTCCCCGCTGCAGCAAAGAGAGCGAAGGGCAGCAGCAGGGACCAGAGCTTGCTGCCACCTGAATTCAAACTGCAGAGCGCCAACTAAGGAAGGAAAACCGGAGATAAACAAGCAGAGACGCCAAGGCCGATGCCTGCAAGGGCAGCAACAACCGTAGCAGCAGCAGCAGCAGCAGCAGCAGCAGCGGATACTTGGGTTAACACACTCCTCGTGGCTACGACAGCTGCTCCTGCTGCAGCGCCCCAACACTCAATGCACTGTGATAGGTAGCGAGGACTGTATTATCATCGACAGAAAAAACACGAGGGCCAGCTGCAGCAACAAGAGCACTAGGAGCCGCAGCAGCTTCAGCAGCAGCAGCAGCACGGGGCTTACAATGAGGTTCTTCTTGCTCCTTGCTGCAGCTCTCCATTGTGCTGCCGCAGCCTCCGAAGAGGATTTGTGGTGCAGCCGACGTAGAAGTGATGGGGGGAGGAGACCGACTGCAGCAAATAGACGCAAAAAAAGCCACGAGGTAAAGAGCGCCAGTCTGACGAGCAGCTGCTACTTTCCCTTTCTTCGGCTTGATGATCTTCCGTTTCGTCTGCGCTGCTAGGGTCTGAAATCGAGGGGCAGCTGCTGCCTACAGAACTACAGCTGCTGCTTCTACTGCGGTTCCCGCTGCAGCTCCTGCTGCGGCTCCTGCTGCGGCTCCTGCTGCGGCTCCTGCTGCGGCACCTGCTGCGGCTCCTGCTGCGACTCCTGCTGCGGCTCCTGGTGTGGCTTTGGCTACGGCTTCTGCTGCAGCAGCTGCTGCTGCTGCAGCTCAAGTTCGCGAGAGGGATGCTGTTCTCGACAGTGTTGCCGTGTGCGGCGGCAGCACCAGCAACTGGCACGTCGGATATTTCTTCAGCGATCGACTCTTCTGTCTCCATATGCCCATTAGCAGCCTCTCTTTGTATGGCTAAAATTTCGGGACGTTATTGTGAGCCAAGGAAGACAGGCATATACTTTTTCTGGAGATGGTGCAGCCTTGCGCAGCCGTTCAGATCATTGAGGAGGCTTTTCGCGTTTGGCGTTTTTGCGCGTGTCCGCTTGTCTGGTTGAAAGTTGCAGTAACACAAATTGAATATATTTATTTGCACAAACCAGAAGACGCATAGACGACGGCCCTAAATAAAGTTGCTCCCAACACTCGTGGGGCCCTTGAGGGCTCACGAGGCGGCGGCGCTGACGAGACCGACGCGGCTGCGACTCCTTAGCTAGTCGGTTCCCAGGGTTTTTATTCTAGTTTTTAAAGAGTTAATTCAATGTGATTAAGCTAATTTGTTTTTTTTTTGTTTCGCCTATCGCACGAATTCGGCGAGTTGGATCTCATTTTACCTGAGCTTCGCACGGTTGAGGCCCTGAGGGACTCTCGGAAGCTCTCCATGTATTGTGCAGCAAACGCGCCGTAGAGGCAGCGAAAACACCAGAAAGGGCGTTCTTGTTTTATTTCCCCCCCATACATGAAAGAAAGGATGAGGAGACAAGGGCTCGCGTGCGCCTGTGGCATAGCGCTGCTCACTGTCGTTTTGGCCGGCGCTCGTGCTTCTGATGCTGCTGCTGCTGGCGTGCTTGCTGCCACAGACGACCAGCCGTGCAGCTGCAGCGGGGAGACGCCCGCAGCAGCAGGCGTGACGGTGGCGGCCACGCAGCCGCCTCCTTCCATTTCTGGCTTGTCCCCTGAGGGCGTATACTTCATCCCCGAGCCTCTCCCCACTGAAGAGACACAAGAAGCTTGCTTGAAGCAGCAGGAGCAGCAGAGTAAGCCGGATCAACTGCAGCAACAGGAAGAACAGCAGCAGACTCAAGGCCCGCTCTGCTCAGTGGTTGACTCACAGGGCTGGGAGCACCCCTCTTCGTACACTGCCAGTATCGTTTTTGCCCCCGTAAGAGCGACCCATGCGAAGCCCCCACAAGAAGGCCCTCATATTGAACTTCCTGCCTCTGAAAGTTCCAAAATAGCAGCAAAAGAAAGAGTGAGAGAGGGCCCCAAGACTGCCGACGAAAGGGTACCTGCTGCCGCCCACAGCCCCCGTCCCGAGAGCCCCGACACACTGCCTGAGCACATAGAAGGTGTGTTCTCTGCTGCCCAGAAGGAGGTGCAGCAGCTGCTGGCAGCAGACAGCGAAAAGAGCAGCAGCAAGCGCGAAAGGGAGCACCATCCGGAGAGCCTGTGCAGGCGGGGCCGGGCGCCGACGCATGCAGAAAGGCGGCAGCAGTTTTTGCTGCAGTTCGGAGAAGACTATTCACTCAAGGCAGAAGAAACTGCTCAGAAGCAGCTGCGAAGGCTAAAGGGAGATATCTACCTGGACTATGCGGGTCAGACACTGACACACACCAGGACTAGGACACAAACTAAGACACAGAGTAGACACAGGCACAAACAAAGGTACCAGGAGAGGCAAAAATAGGAAGGAAAATGCAGTAAAGCATTAATACGTTGATTATAGTTCAAGCAGCGATAGAAAATAAGTAAGATATGATATGTCACTACCTACATATGCCACAAGCTCATGAGACAGGCGAAAATGGAGAACTACAGGAAACGCAACGCAGAAATAGATGAGCGGCAGACGCTCTTTCGCCAAAACAACACTTAACAGCAACAAACGGCCCGCAGTTCTGCTGCAGCTTCTGCCGCTGTTGTTTCCATTATATTTACGTTCTTGCTGTTGCCGTTGTGTTACTATGGAATATTATTCTCTCTGCGATCTGACTGAAGACGAGAACAGGCAGTTTTCATGTCCTTTTCTTCCCTATCCATGTTTGATTTCTGACTCTGTCTCGGCTGCACCTGTCCATCTGTTCCATCTTCCTTCGCATTTTCCTGCTGTGTGTTGCCGTCTCAGTCGGACTTGAGTGTGTGCACGCTCTACACCCAGTAGCTGCAGTTCATTGCATATCTGATCTGCCAGTATCTCTGAACCTCTCGCTTTTCCTTCAAGGTTGCCGCCGTTTATATATTTATTTTTGCTTCTTTCTTTGCGTCTGCGCCTTCTGCCTGTTGGCTCTCTTCACCTATATAGGTCCCTGTTCTTCTTGTGTCCGCGTATGTCTTTCTGTATCTGCTTGCATCTGCGCCTGCGCTTCCCCACATGCTTGTGCTACTGAGGTGTCTTCTCCCTGGTATGTGGTCGCATGCCTCCTGCATGTTTTGTTCATCTTTGCGTCTGCAGGCGCTGCCCCTTATCAAGAGCAGCAGCTGCTGTCGGTCTTCAAGGATTTGGGACTGCACGCGTTCGGCAATGCTCACTCCCGCAATCCCTCAGCGAAGCTGACAGGTGACTCCTAGGCCTTCCTAGAGTCTAATTAAGCGTAAATCGCACGTATGCTTGCCTTTCATTTGCTTGCCTATGTATTTCTTTATTTGGATGTGTGTGTAAGCAAATGTGAGTTTTTTTCTGCGTACTCGCTCTTGCATATGCCACGCGTGCATGGATTTCAACATGCGTTATTCCGTTGCAATTATATGTGCGTTAATGTACGAGTGAAATATAAAATGAAACACGATTTTTCACGGGAAGAAAAGAAAGCAAAAGCAAGCATTTGAGGCTTTCTAAAGTCCTCTGCAAACACCGAAAACGCCAGAGGCATCAGCCTTCAAGCGAGGTCCTACACACAAATAAATGAGTTTGCACACAATAATATGTACAGCATTTTTTACACATACATGCATACGTGAATGTAAAGGTGCAACTACGGCTGTACGTGGAAGTATATGCTTGTCTTTTGAAAAATGCATATTGCCGGCAAACGTGCTGCTGCAGCTGCTGCTGCAGCTCCTGCCGCTGCTTCTACAGTTGCCGTTGTTCCTCAGATGAGAGGACTCGAGAGGCCCGCGAGTTGACCCTGAAGTTTTTTGGTGCTGAGGAAAGTGACTTTGCAGTTGTCTTCACTTCGGGTAAAGAGCCGAAATATTATGTAGAATTTTTGGTCATACCGCTTTGGACCAGCCTTCTTCTGTTTCTGCCACAGTTATTTCCGTACTTCTTGTTAATCTTTCTAGTTGGTATTGGCGTTAATGCTTTTGCTGCTGCTGCTGTCGCTGTTGTCGTTCCGACGTGCTGTGCTACTATTGCTGCTGCTGCCCCTGTGTTGCTGCTACTGGTGTTGCTGTTTGGTCAGATGCCTGTCTCTCTGCGTTCAGGCGCCACTGCAGCTATAAAGCTGGTTGGTGAGGACTTTCCCTTTAGTGGAAAGTCGAGTTTTTTCTATTTAAGAATAAATCACAACTCCGTCTTGGGCGTTAGGTGAGCTTTCTTCTTTCTAGCTTTCCATTTTGTCCTCGTTTTGTTGCTTTGGGTGGCTTGACATCTGCTTGCAGCTTGGAAGTATATGCACTGCCTTTCATATCTTTTGTTTCTAGAGGGAAACACAGCCCGAATGGAGCCAGAAGTACCCGACGCAGCAGCGACTCGCACCACAGCTCGTGGTACAACTGCATTTGCGCCTATGACTCTGTGTTTGTCTGCTTTTTAGAGAACTTGCATACGCCGCCGGAGTGGAGGCCGTAAGAGCGTTATCAGAACGCGAGGTGAACTCGATTTTGGCGGAGAGGGAAAAGGAAGGCTTGAAGACTGACTGGAGCGACAGCTCCTCCCACCCTTACTGTCTTTTTGGTTTTCCTCTTAAGGATAACTTTAATGGCACGTCATACCCCGTTGGATGGATAGAAAAAATCCACAAGTAAGACAGCACCTGCCCTGTCAGAGCGTTTTCTCTCCTTGTCTCATAAGCCTTGTACCTTGTTTGCCCGTACGTGCCTGGAAGCTGCAGCACTGAATTAATACATCTTAGATGAATTTCCGTTAATTTACTCAAGTATGTGATGTCACTGTCTTTTGGCGTTGTCTGTGGCTGCGCACTGCAGGTTCGGGCTTTCCGATGGCTGTCGGTGGCTCGTCCTCCTTGATGCAGCTGCTGCGGCGCCGACAACACGGATTCAGTTGTCTGGAAATGGGCTGGAGAAGGCTGCAGACTTTCTAGCGGTGTCCTTCTACAAAGTGTTCGGATACCCCACAGGATTGGGAGCTCTAGTGCTTAAACGCAGCGCCGCAGATGTGCTCAAGAAGGTGTGGAGCCTTTGCTGCTCCCTAGCATTTTAGAAATAGGATTTGCGGTGCTAAAGTCAATTCGGAGCGATTTCCCCTAGCAGTGGCTCTACTAAAAGCGCTGAGAATGGGGAAAAAGGTGTAAATATGGGCGGATGCGGATGCTGCTGCAGGTCTACTGGGGGGGAGGCAGTGTTTCGGGCTCTCTATGCGACGCGCGGTGGCAAAAGCCGAAGAAGGACATTTCTGCTCGCCTAGAAGACGGTACTGTCAACTTTCTTTCCATTGCTGCCATTAAGTATGGCTTTGCAGCTCTCCAGGTAGGGTTTTTCAAACTCGCCGCAGAATATCGCTCTATCCAGCTTGAATTGGAATACCTCGAAGGCCGTATGCTGTGCACGTGCCATGTATGTAGGCAGTTGCTAAAGCCAAAATCAAGGGATTTTAGAAAGGCATTTCGTCATGCGTTCTGTGCTTCTATGCCCCAGGCTATTGGAATGGACCAAATTGAACGGCACGTAGCGTCGCTGACTCGCCATCTCTACCGATCGCTGAAATCTCTCCGTCACCGAAATGGAGCTCCGTTTGTGCTTCTTTACTGGGGACGCACGGAGGAACCTTCCGGTATGCTGAGCATGTGATCATTAGTAGGGAGCCTGTTTGGTTATGCTTGCTAGGTCAAAAGCAGTTTCTTCGTGTTGTGTCATCCATGTGTAGTGCGCGGCCTGTTTGGCCTTTGTCATCTCTCTTATTCTATGAATATTCCATTTTTCTGGCAGAATCTATCGATATACCTTTGGCTGGTGACGGGGTTTTGCTCACTACTGTGAAAACTTTATGTGGGCTGGGAGCATTCAGGCGGAATCGTGAATTTCAATCTGCTTAAGCCTGACGGTTCATTTATTCCATTTGGAGAGGTGCGGCTCGACGTGAAAGTGTGGCTTGTCCACGATAATTTAGGCTTAGTTACTTAGGTGTTTTTGTTGCCTCACGTGCCGCTGCTCACTGAGACCACTTTGGCTGTGCGCTTCTATTCAGGTTGAGGCCAGAACGGCTGCCGCAGGCATTCATCTGCGCACAGGATGCTTCTGCAACCCTGGAGGCTGCCAGGTGAATCTCCAAGTCCCTGTCAGTGTAACTTTACCCCCTGCATTACTCTTATATGTTGCCTTCCACACACCTAGAGGGTTGCCTTCTTGCTCTGTCATCCACTTTCCCTCAGGATTTCTTAGGACTAACTGGTGCCGAAATTGTCAATGCAACTCGCGTAAGAGAAAGTTGTTCAGACCCCAGTGGTGCCGTGCTCGTTCGTCCATCTTCAGATTTCGGTTGGATTGGATCTGGGCCACGGATTCATTCAAAGGCTGTTGGGTCTGTACGGATTTCTTTAGGGTATCTGAGCACGTTTGCTGATGTAGACGGATTGGTTGACTTTCTTGTGCATGCATTCCTGTGGCAGTAATGAGGGCGAACCGTGTACGGCAAAAGTTGACAATGTATATGACGCTCAGCGGAGTCTGAAGTTCGCTGATATGTGCAAGTGCCAATTCAAGTGATCATACTGAATTGAGCGTTTCCAGCATGCAGAGTCCTTTGCTGTGGACCTAGTACACATGCAGTTTTTTATAAAAGGAATCTGGACTCGCGAAAAGCCATGGAGTAACAATGTGCAAATGCGGACTGGCGACTGAACATGCTGATTTCGTCCATGCTTGCCATGCTTGCGCTTGCCCCTCTGTGCAACATGTCGCACAGCATTGTTTTTCGACCTTGTTGCCGGCTGGCAATTGGGCATTATATTGACCGGCAGTGTAAATTTCGTTTCTGCCGATGTTCCATCGCGTGAATGCGAAGGTGGAAGCTTACAGCACAAACAGTCTACGGACTCGGGTGCAGCTCACGGCTGCCTCGAGTGCGAAAGATGGCTTCCTTTGTACATACGATTTTATCATTTGCCTGGCGATCTAAGTCTTGCTTCAACACATGACTTCCAGCGTTGCCACTTGCCAGCACTGGCAGGCATGCGCTCCAGATTCTCATATACACAGTTAGCCCAGCACTGAACAACGCTCGAATAGCTTATGAGAAAGAGCTCGCCTACAGCATACGATTCGTGAACCTGCATTCTGCTAAATAGCATGCATACTGCATACTTATTTCTAAATTTATGTTTTTCAGCTATGTCAGACACTGTTTCAGCATCACGGAGGAGAACTGGCAACCTAAGGCACCTCTGACTCCCATACTTTGCCTTTGAGTAGGCTGAAGCAGTTGTTTCCCTTCTAATGAGTACTCAGTTTTGACTAAAAATTGGCTAGATTTGGAGTTGTGCAAGGAAGCACCCATAGCTCAGAACCATTTCGGAAGAACAACGCTGCCGATGGTGTTGTCCGAGCTGGGTCACTTTGCGGTGTCTTGACAGCCGAGAAAACTTCGCTGTGATTACTGAATCAGAAAGCACAACCAAACTTCGATTCTCACTTGGTACCTACAATTTACTTCCGGTAATTTCAGGTATTCAAGTGTCAGTTCCCCCAACTACTCGCGGGCATTAGGCGTCATCTTGCAGTCCAGTGGTGTCTGGTGTTCTCCAGCAGGCAGACCACCTCTCAGTTAACCGTCTTCCTCCAACACTGCACTTCTAAGTAGGTAACAACAGTTTGCCCAAATCCAAATTTTGGCCTTCTCATTTTCGTATGGTGCCTCTTTTCCAGCCGTTTTTTAGCACGGAGCCCTCGGCGCGCTCCCTCTTAGGCCGACCGGAAGTTACGGGCCATCACTCCGATCCATCTTTCCCCTATTCGCAACTTCACTCTTTTTCACGAAAATGACGATCCTCTCTTCCCTTCGGAGATGTTCAGCTCCGATTCTGCTCGGTAAGCACTCCACTTTTCTCCGGTTGAGGTTGAGTTCCGTAATTTTTCGGCAATACCCGTATGCTTTCCTTTCTCAGGTGTAGCCCTTCTCTGGGCGCAGGATTCTTGTGCCATGTCGGCCAAAGGAGCTGCTCCCCGCAGAGAAGTTGATTTACAGCAAATACTGGCGATTTTCCCTGGTCTGGACGCGAGATACCCCGTGATCCGTGAAAGCCCTGGCCTCTTGGAAGATATTACTGATTTTCTCGAAGAAAAACAGGAAGTCCCAAAAGAAGAACTAGAGGCTGCTCTCCGCAGGTTCCTCTGTGAAAGGGGATACACAGCTTTCTGCTGCAGCGCATGCTACACCAGCACAACGACATCTGCCCCTGTTACGGAACCGTCCACAACGGAAGCAGTTTCAACTGAGCCAAGTACAACTGAGCCAAGCACAACTCAGGCATCTTCAACTGAGGCATCTTCAACTGAGGCATCTTCAACTGAGGCGTCTTCAACTGAGGCATCTTCAACTGAGGGATCTTCAACTGAGGGATCTTCAACTGAGGGATCTTCAACTGAGGCATCTTCCACCGAGGCATCTTCAACTGAGGCATCTTCAACTGAGGCATCTTCCACCGAGGCATCTTCAACTGAGGCATCTTCAACTGAGGCATCTTCAACTGAGGCATCTTCAACTGAGGCATCTTCAACTGAGGCATCTTCAACTGAGGCATCTTCTACCGAGGCGTCTTCGACTGAGGCGTCTTCGACTGAGGCGTCTTCGACTGAGGCATCCTCGACTGAGGCATCTTCAACTGAGGCATCTTCGACTGAGGCATCTTCAACTGAAGCATCCTCTACTGAAGCATCTTCAACTCAGGCATCTTCGACTGAGGCGTCTTCGACAGAGGCATCTTCCACTGAGGCATCTTCTACTGAAGGATCTTCTACTGAAGGATCTTCAACTGAGGCATCTTCTACTGAAGCCTCCTCGACTGAGGCATCTTCTACCGAGGCATCCTCAACAGAGGCATCCTCAACTGAGGGATCTTCAACTGAGGGATCTTCAACTGAGGGATCTTCAACTGAGGCGTCTTCAACTGAGGCATCATCTACCGAGGCATCCTCAACTGAGGCATCCTCAACAGAGGCATCTTCAACTGAGGCGTCTTCAACTGAGGGATCTTCAACTGAGGGATCTTCAACTGAGGGATCTTCAACTGAGGCATCCTCAACTGAGGCGTCTTCAACTGAGGCATCATCTACCGAGGCATCCTCAACTGAGGCATCCTCAACAGAGGCATCTTCAACTGAGGCATCTTCAACTGGGGGATCTTCAACTGAGGGATCTTCAACTGAGGCATCTTCAACTGAGGCATCTTCAACTGGGGCATCTTCAACTGAGGCATCTTCAACGGAGGGATCTTCAACTGAGGCATCTTCGACTGAGGCATCTTCAACTGAAGGGTCTTCAACTGAAGGGTCTTCAACTGAGGCATCTTCGACTGAAGCATCCTCGACTGAAGCATCTTCGACCGAAGCATCTTCGACTGAAGCATCTTCGACCGAAGCATCTTCGACTGAGGCATCTTCTACAGAAGCTTCATCCACTGAAGCCTCATCCACTGAGGCTTCGTCCACTGAAGCTTCGTCCACTGAAGCTTCGTCCACTGAAGCCTCATCTACTGAAGCCTCCTCTACTGAAGCCTCCTCTACTGAAGCCTCTTCTACTGAAGCCTCCTCTACTGAAGCCTCCTCTACTGAAGCCTCCTCTACTGAGGGATCTTCAACTGAAGCCTCCTCAACTGAGGGATCTTCAACAGAGGGATCTTCAACAGAGGGATCTTCAACAGAGGGATCTTCAACTGAGGCATCTTCAACTGGGGCATCTTCAACTGAGGCATCTTCAACTGAGGCATCTTCAACTGAGGCATCTTCAACTGAGGCATCTTCAACTGAGGCATCTTCAACTGAAGCGTCTTCAACTGAAGCGTCTTCAACTGAGGCATCTTCAACTGAGGCATCTTCAACTGAAGCATCTTCAACAGAGGCATCTTCAACTGAAGCATCTTCAACTGAAGCATCTTCAACTGAAGCCTCATCTACTGAAGCCTCCTCTACTGAAGCCTCCTCTACTGAAGCCTCCTCTACTGAAGCCTCCTCTACTGAAGCCTCCTCTACTGAAGCCTCATCTACTGAAGCCTCATCTACTGAAGCCTCATCTACTGAAGCCTCATCTACTGAAGCCTCATCTACTGAAGCATCTTCAACTGAAGCATCTTCAACTGAAGCATCTTCAACTGAAGCCTCATCTACTGAAGCATCTTCAACTGAAGCATCTTCAACTGAAGCATCTTCAACTGAAGCATCTTCAACTGAAGCGTCGAGTACCGAAGCGTCCAGCACCGGAGCATCTAGCACCGAAGCGTCGAGTACCGAAGCGTCCAGCACCGGAGCATCTAGCACCGAAGCGTCCAGCACAGAAGCGTCCAGCACCGAAGCGTCCAGCACCGAAGCGTCCAGCACCGAGGCGTCCAGCACCGAAGCGTCCAGCACCGGAGCATCTAGCACGGAAGCATCTAGCACCGAAGCGTCCAGCACTGGATCGTCCAGCACCGGAGCATCTAGCACGGAAGCATCTAGCACCGAAGCGTCCAGCACTGGATCGTGCAGCACCCATGCATCGACTACCGAACCGACCACCACGCTGCCATCTTCTAGACAATGCACAACCAGCGTCCCAGAGCCGGAACCTTGTAAAATCACCATCACTACCACCATCGACTGCTTCGTCTCTTTCCTATACAGGATTCTCCCCATATTGAAGCCTAATGAAGCCGAAGCACTCACTTCCCACCTGAGAGGAGGCCGTGCATAAGCGCAGCATCAGCTTCGTAATGTATTTAATGTCTTTTTTACTTTGACCGAGCGCGTCATTTGTTGCTCCCACGCAATAACTCTAAACCGGAGAAGTTTCGCGTTTGAATCTTGTTTTTGTCAGTGATCACATGCTCGTTGGTGATTTGCTTTTAATGGAAACGATTTTGATTTCCTGTAACCGGACAATCGCTCTTTCACTGCGAATCATTCGAATATGCAAGCAACTGCAGCGAGCCTTCTCGTCTTGTTTTAATAAAATCCTTTTTGTAATGAAATAGAAGGGGACGATGAGAATATATAAATCAGGCATTTCACTTTTTGGCCTCCGTTTGGTGATTGATTTGTTCCATTCTGTATGGTAGGCAAATCCGATATAGTACGTTTCTAAAACGCGTTGCGACTTTGTGAAAGCATTTGGTCAGTCAGTCGAAAGACAAAACAAGATCTTTTGATCTATTGATCTTATAGTTTTCATCCGCTGCTTAGATTCATTTTTTTTCTCCGAATGACATTCTGGGGAAACAGAAAAAGACAACCAGTGGAGCTTTTCGTGACACTGAGACGGAACTCGCATTCAATTCTCGCGCCCATTCAAATTGTAGTTTATAGTGCGCGCGAACATTATCTTCCAGTGCTTCAGGCGCAGAAACTCATTGCGAGGCGGCGACTTTTGTGCTTTTGTGTACCTCTGTCTTGGTCTTGGAACTAGACATAAGAAGCCCAACAGGATCGGCAGGAGCCCGAATATTTGGCTTGTTACCTGGTTCTCATATGCAGGTTCCAAGATGCGCGGGCGATGTGCAGCAATTAAGCGAAGCTATGGGATGCTTATTTTTTAAGATTCAGCAAAAATAAATTCCAAATTCAGATGCAGCAGCAGGAGTCCTAACGGCAGATACACCCCACAGCGATGACTTGGCATTTAGTCACCGTCCACTGTTTTGGTTAGTGCCGAGATACTGGGAAGCTTGCAAGCAAGAAAACGTCTTGCTGGCGCTCTTCATGATGGGTGAAGCCTGGCAAGTGAAAGGTCAAAGGGCTGATTTGTCCCACGCTTAGCAATCAGAACAGCATCATTCGCTGGACCGCTACTGAGGCAGCCACCACTGAAACCTGTAGCGCCCAGCCCTGCAGTACTGAATCTTCCTGCAACAACGCGCCCATCCCTGTGTGATGAAGCCCAGAATCACCTTCTGTACCATGTACAACTAGATTTCCAGGCCCAAAACCGTGCATGTCACAACAGGAATGTCTACTGCTTCTTCACTTTCCTGCACAAAATCTTGCCCACAGTGAAATTTACGAGTCCTCAGACATATACTTTTCATCTGAGAGGAGATCATTCATGAGCATTGTAGTATCTGCTCAGTGACTTACCCGCACAAATACAGTGCCTTTCAAGGGAATCTTAAAAACACGAGAGTCCTCACAAGCCATAGAAAAGGAAGCTTTCCGAAATTCCTCCTTGAGAAGGAGCGGATGCAGAAGAGCGCCGCTGTAGAGTGTGGTTTAGACCAAGATTCAAGATGGCAGGGCAATACTGCATTTAGATCGCTGATTCTACTGCGATTACGGCGACGAGATAGGCGAAATCTTGCAGGCAGCCAGTAAGCTATGTGCTAGTCAGGACTGCCTTCATTTGAACCACATATTCCTTCAAAAATGTTGAATCATCTGAGTAGCATCGGTAAGGTCAGTGCCACCACTGTTCACCGCGTTCAGCAAGCATCGCGATTCATATCACGTCAGCAAACTAACAGTGCTTATTTCTTTCCAGGGGTGCCTGCTCGAGGTGACAGTGGTGACTGTTCCCCACCGCGCACAGCCACGTTTAGGCTGTTCGGATAAGGATATTGTAGCTGTTTCAACGATGGCTCCATGTCACTTCTCATCCTGCAAAGGCCCAGCAGACAAGGGTGCCAGGGAAGAAACTCCAAGACAAATTCGCGTTCATAGCTTCATCGTAATTGCTGGAGTTGCTGAGCAGTTGCAGTGCCGTTATTTCTGGCAGCCGTTCGTTGTGTGACGCTCATGGCTGAGGCTGACCACAGGCAGCGACGTTTCTCCTTGCCTTTGTCCGTCCTTTGAGCTCTCGCGGTGGCAAATGGCTCTGTGTACAGAGCTGCAGCGAGGTGAAAACTGCAATGCTTGTTCATTATGACGTTTTAGCCTCTGAAACAAAGGACGATCTACATGGAGAACACGAAGCGTTTGAATAAAGCTAAATACGGCGTGAGCGCATTCGAATTGCTGTGCCGCGCATCTGTTCTTGTGACATTGGAGGCCATAGCGCGAGGTTGAGACTAAAAGCGCCCTAAAATTAATGTAGCAATTCTTTCAACTTCGAGAAAGACATTGAACAGGAATGCAGGCAAGCAGCTTCTGCTCTTTGCAATAAGGATATGAGGCTCCACCGATGGCACTGCACGTGTTTCTGAGTAATCTACCATATAACCCTTTTTGTTTCAAACAGACTAGAGTACCTAGTGGCCAGTGTCCTGCCCCACTAATGGCGAGTAATATTCATTCCGTCACTCTTCAACTATAAGCGTTTTCGTCGTTTTTCGCCCATTGTTGAGAGCTTTTGTGAACGGCAGAGGCCCCTATTCACTAAATTATACAGGAAGATGTCAAAGGTAGTAAAGAAGGGAGAAAATGATCTTTGAATGAAGTTGACGCCTGCTGGTGGGGAGTGCATGACACGTCTGCAGGGAAACAGCTCCTCACTCACGAACATCAAATCCAGCTTGTCCACAAGTCGGGTGCCAAAGGCAAGATCAAGGGTCATTTCAAATGTGTCCCACGTAAACACTGTCAAATGTTCCGAAGTAAACACTGCCAAATTTGTGTTCTTCTTTAAATTTGCGTCGCTCTGCTGTGCGGCTTTCTGCTGTGTCCTGTGTGTGGGTTTGCCACTGGCCAAGCTTTCGCCTCTTTTCTTTTTGTTCGCAGTGATCCAATTCGCTAAACATATGTTTGTCTTTTTTCAGCATGCCAATCGGCTTTTTTTGTTTCGGATTGGCGGCTGAGATCGCTAATTCAAAGCCCTTGGCATCCTGCCACTTCAGATCGTTGCTTGATTCAACCCAGGTAGGATTCCGCAGAAAGCCAGCGCCAGACCAGTCATTTAGTTCTCCCTCCCCGAAGAAAGTGGTGGAAGGCAGAGAATTCAGTTCTCCCTCCCCAAAGAAAGTGGTGGAAGGCAGAGAAGCCAAGAAGATCACTTAACAATTAGTGAGGCAGCAGGTTCAGGCGTGGCGAGACAGGCACTCCTGGCAGCTATGAGGGGAAGGAAACTACAAAGATGACTTATCGCGTTTACAAAACAGTCCACGCAAGCAAAAGACCAAAACAACATTGAATTTATTGCTCTGTTCAGAAAGAAGATAAGGGCGAGCGAATTACTGTTCCGTTTCAGCAATGGCCGCTCGCACACAACCCGCAGCTCGGGGAATCCATTGGCTTCCTAGGCCACAGAAGTGTCTGTGCTATCTGTGCTATAAATAACCCTAAAATTGGAACTTTTTAGAACTAATTGTCAATTTTCGGGGGGATTTTGGAGCCATTTCACCCCAGCGGCCTCGCCGCGTTCTGAACTGTTCAGCCTGGGGGGCTGTGAAGTGCAGTTGTGGCTCCGTGAGATATGCAGGAAACTTTCCTTTGGCCACATCGGCAACAAAAGTCCCAAAAAACTTCCAAGTTTGTGCGGGCGAAGTGGCATTTTTGCAGTTTTCTTTCCAGAACATGAAGTGGAACAACACACATTCAATTTGCCACAATGTTCTGCAGCAGGCGGGAATGATGGAGTATATTCAAGAACCTGAGAGTTCCTTTCTACAAGGAAACATGCACCAATTTATTTATGGGTAGAAGGAAAAGGCTTGATCATGTAATCTGTTTATTTATTATTTATTTATTTATTTTTAATTTACTTATTCCCGTTTCACTCAGCAGAACTGGCACGGAAATGCAGCTTCTGGAGTGCAACAACCCCTGCGCATTGACTCCTCGGTTGCCCCAAATGCCAATTAAAGCAGCAAATAAGAAAGGCAAAAAGACTGACAAGTCGAAGCGACAATACGGCAGACCAAAAGCAGTTCAGATCCCACTCCAATGACGCATTTCAACTCCACTTCCAAGAGGCAAATGAATCCAAACTTTGAGCTGCAAATGCTGAGGCAAAAAAAGGAAACTTTCTTTTTTTTGCCTCAGCATTTGCAGCTCTGTTTTCAGAGGCCTATTCAGCACTTATTTTTGTCCTTGTTTATTCTGGCAGGCCTCTGCGCACCAAGTTCTTCAACAGGCTGGCCCCCACAGCAGCAGCAGCAGCAGCAGCAGCAGCAGCAGCAGCAGCAGCAGAAGTGCAGAAGAGAACTATTTAAATTGCTCATCGACACACAAACCCCAGCCAGCAACTGGCGGCAAGAAACACCACAAAAGCATTATGGGGGGAAAGAAACTCCAGAGGCATTTCCTCCAGCCCTCCGCTGAAGGGGCCTCGACAGAAGGCCAAAATTAATGAACAAATGAACATAACAAATGAATAAAGGAATTGCAAATTGATAAAGGAATTGCAAATTGATAAAGGAATTGCAAATTGATAAAGGAATTACAAATGAATAAAGGAATTGCAAATTGATAAAGGAATTGCAAATTGATAAAGGAATTACAAATGAATAAAGGAATTGCAAATGAATAAAGGAATTATAAGTGAATAAAGGAATTATAAGTGATAAAGGAATTACAAATGAATAAAGGAATTATAAGTGATAAAGGAATTACAAATGAATAAAGGAATTACAAATGAATAAAGGAATTGCAAATGAATAAATGAATTTCGAGTGAATAAAGGAATTATAAGTGATAAAGGAATTACAAATGAATAAAGGAATTATGAATAAATAAATGAATTAAAAAAGATGAATTATAAATGAATGAATTATAAATGAACAAATGAATTATAAATAAATGCATTATAAATAAACAAATGAATTAAAA